CTCCCCCTGCTTGTGTTCCCTCTCTCGCTGTGTCTCTCTCTGTCAAATAAATAAATAAAATCTTAAAAAAAAAAACGTCAAATGAGAACCTGGGGGGGGGGTGGGGGGATGCACGAGATCTGTAATTCATGTCTCAGAAAAGGCCTAATTTCCATCATAAATGATGAGCTAATACAAATCAGTAAGACACAGATAGTAAACTCCACGTACAAAGGGGCAGAGAATTAAAGGTGAGGAAGAGGAAGTGAAGTGGGGAAGGCCCACCTCCCAATGGGGTGGCTGTGGACCTGCCAGAGCCCAGCTGGACAACGTCTTCCCGAACCAGAAATGCTTCTGCTTTCCAACAAAGCGACGCCCCGCCCTGCGGGCTGAAAGCTTGTGTACAAGGCCGTTCACTTTAACATGACGTGTAGGACAAAAGATTGGAAATAACCTAAAAAGTCCACAGCAGGGACAAGGTCACATCACGTCGTTGGCGCATCTACGTAACAGGGCGCGGCCTGCATGGGCTCCGCACGGGCTGCCCTCCCTTGGCCTTCTTGCCACATGGGGGGCTCATGCAGCTCCCCCAGAGGTGGGCCCTCGAGATGGATTCTCCCGGACCCCCGTGACAACCAGGCGGACAAGGGCAAGGGCAGGGTCGTGCTCGCGAGGCTGGGCAGCCCAGAGAATGCCCGTGTCTCCCAGACTGACGCACCAGCTCCCTGGGAAGGGGCCCCTGCGGCTGGCTTGTGTAGCACCCGGGCCCGCGGCGACACAGCCCCGAGCCTCCGCGTAGGAGCCTGCACAGGCGGAGAGACTGCAGTGTGTCTGTCTGCACGTCAGCCTGACGGGGTCACCCAGCCCCGCCAGGCAGCGGCCGGGGCAGCACGTCTCACCTCTGTTCTGACCTCTGGCTGGACTTCCTCATGGATCAAGCTCTTCCTTCCCACTTCTCTCTGAACTCCAGCAAAAGACCCTGAGAGCAGGGTCCCCAGTGGGAACCGAAATTCCCCTCAAGCTATAAGGACAGCTCTGAGCCAGCAGGACACCCGTGACGGGCCCCATGACGGTGACCGACCTGACCTTCACTGCCCACCTGCACGCACCCACTGACCTCTGTCCCACACGGTCCTTATATAAACCTGGAAGTGTTTTCTGCACTTGGGAGGGTCTTCTGGACAACAGTCCCCTGGCTTCCTGGGAACGGCCTCCCTGAAATAAACTCCTTTCTTGTGTCACCGCCACTGTCTCTCTGCCCGTGGATTCTGTCGGCGGCCACTGGCCGAGCCTGGCCTGTTTGGGACCCCACAGCCCTGGCCCCAGCCTACCTGGTGCAGAGTCGTCCTGGGAGGTGAGGCCAGAGGGGCTGGATCCCAGGTCCAGTAACTTCCACGTGTCCTGGAGGGGACCGCTGGCCGCTGATGAGGAGCTTCCGGTGCGGTGCCCACTTTCCCTGTGGGACTCTTGAGCTGGGCGTGGCTTTGGGGACCGGTTTTCTTTGTGCCGAGTTGATCTGCAAGTCACTGTAGAGATTCTGTGTTGCCTCTATGAAAGTAAAAAAAGACACAATGATCCCTGAGAGCCCTGCTCTGCTGTCCCTGGAGTAAGTGACAAGGCGGTGGGCATGGCCCAAAGACAGGCCTTGGGGTGAGGCTTCAGGGACCATCTCGCAGAGGCCCTGGGGACAGGCCCGCGCTCCCAGGCACACTGGCTGGCCGGTGCCCCACCAGCTGGGGTTCCTACAGACACTGGAAGGACAAAGCAATGTGTAAGGCAAAGGCAGTCTGGTCTCCTTGGAAAGAAGGGCAAATGCCCCAAAACACGCCTTTCCGGCTGTGCCAAGGCCCACGCTGGAGCCCGTGTCCGCCCATGCCCCCAGTGCCCCGGGCCCACCCACTCCGTGAAGGCACAAGAGCAGAATCCGCCATCCCAAGAGAAGCGTCTGGTGCTGCCGGGGCAACAGCCGCCTGCTAGGACGCCCAGCGCTCAGCTTCCCATGGTGGCACGGTGTCCCCAGCACATGGCGTCCCCAGCACAGCAGCCCTGCCCTAGCTGCCCCGCCCCGGCCCCGGCCCCGGCCCCTGCCGTCCAGCCCCGAGGAGGGCCGCCTCTCCCCACCGTCTGGGCCGAGCATTCAGAGACACGTTTCTTCTTGGTGTTCTTAGAGTCCTGCCGTGAAAACGCGGACAGAAGGAATTCAGTGTCGGCGGGTCACCGATGGGGTGTGTTACCGAGGTCTCCCTCCAGATGAGGGAGAAACGCTCTCCCCAAATTTCCAGTATCAGGGACTCGCTCAAGTTGGTGGCAGGCCAGAAGGGAGGGGCATGGTCGTGTCCACCAGCCAGGAAGAACAGTGTCCACCTGAGTGCCCCTCCCGGCCTTCAGGAGACCAAGCACCCCAGCATCACACAGACCCCTTCTCAGCATCAGGGGAGGGAGCCCTGAGCCTGACCCCCCGTGCCTCTCAGTTTGCTGGCAGGCCCCCACAGCCTGAACGGCCTTCCACCCTCCCTCTGTGGGGACGCCTGCCTGAGAGCAGTCAGAGGGGAACGTAAGGAGTCTTAAGAGGCGCTGAACGGGAACATGGAAGAAAATGTAAGCATTACAAGCAGCTGGACCAGGGCAGAGCCTGAGCAGTGGGCCACTCGCAGGGAGGGCCCGGCCAGACCCACCAGCCTCTTCCCGGAGCCCCAGAGAACATTCACACCCATTGCACCGCTCTTCTCTGCTCTAGTTTAATTAATATTTGAATTCAACTGAGTAATGCATGCATATTTTTTTTAAAGATTTTATTTATTTATTTGACAGAGAGAGGGAGAGACACAGCGAGAGAGGGAACACAAGCAGGGGGAGTGGGAGAGGGAGAAGCAGGCTTCCCGCTGAGCAGGGAGCCCGATGCTGGGACCGTGACCTGAGCCGAAGGCAGATGCTTAACGACTGAGCCACCCAGGCGCCCCCATGCATATTTTTTTATTTTAACTTACAGCCCCCGGGGCAGCAGTGATGATAAATGGGCTTTTCATGTTTGTTGACTGACTGAGTTTCTTCCTCCAGGGTTTCTTTTCTTTTTCTTTTTAAAAGATTTACTGACTTGAGAGAGAGAGAGAGAGCGAGCAGGAATGGGATGCGCAGAGGGACAGAGAGAGTCTCAAGCAGATTCTGCACTGAGCGGGGAGCCCGACTCAGGGCTCGATCCCAGGACCCTGAGATCACGACCTGAGCCGGAATCAAGAGTCAGCCACTTAACCGACTGAGCCACCCAGGTGCCCTTCCTCCATAGTTTCTGATCATATCCTTTGCTTTTTTATCTATTGGTTAAAAAAGCGGGCCTCATGGAGTCGTCTTTTCTCAAGTTTTAAGAAAGGAGGCATTTCACTGGATGTAACAAAGCCATGGTAGTTTTGTAGTTTGAAGGAGATTAATAAAGTGTAATGCAATATTTAATGTACTAGAAAGAAGTGGAGGTCCAAGTCATAATATGCACGTTTTACTGTGACAGATAATAGGCACATTTATTCGACAACTTGGGAGATTTTCTTCTAATAACACATATTTAGAACTTTAATCAATGCAGGTGATTTGAAAGTTATGAATAGCTAGGTACTTCAATGCTTTAACAGCATTTCCCACAAGTGGTGAAGGGGTCGTGCAGGGGAGGGGGTCGTGCAGGGCAGGGGGTCCTCTGGTGGAAAACGCCATGGTCTTCAGCCCCCTTTCTGTGGCCGGCCCTGTGCCGTTTCTCAGGCCAGCGTTTCCTCGTTGGGCAGACCATTGTGCAGGCCTCTCCCACACACCCATTCCGGGTGCCCTGGTGCTCTCCCCACTGTCCCTGCCGTCCCTGCCGTCCCGTGATGCAGACCCTGCCGTTTGCCATGGGCTTGTGTTGAGGCCCAGCGGAAGCCCCCCAGCCCTAGGAGGTGTGTGCCTGACGGACATGGTAGCAGGGCAGTTCAGGCATCACCAGTCCCAGGCCGCCGCTCGCCTCCTCCCACCCAGCAGCCAGGCCTCAAGCCTGGGCTCCTTCCCTCTCCCACAATCCAAATCCATCCCACAGCGAATTCTGGCTTCAGCTGTCTCCAGATGTGACGCTTCTCCTCGCTGGCCGCCCACCCCTTACCCGGGCCCCCAGGTCAGCGCAGAGCCTGAGCACTGCTACCTCGCTAGGGCCACCTTGGGGCTCACGTCACCCCTGGGGGAACAGGCCATCCATCTCCCAGCTGGCGTTCTCTTACTTTAAACAAACTGAAAAGGCAAGCCATACACTGGAGACTCTTTGCAGAACATGGGCGGATAGGGATTGGTCTCAAGACTATAAAACTCCCACATCCTTCAAGGAAACTGAGTGTTAGTGAATGAGACGCTACACACAGGTGTAGTGAGGAACGGCGCCAAGACACGTGCTCGCTACTTTTCATCAGTTAATTACAGGCGGAAGCGTCTAGTTGTGTGGAAAGGCTTGTGAAGAACAGAAATCTAAAGGCAGCGCAGTGGAGGGCATGGCCTCCGTGGAAGGACAGCGGCATCCTGCCAGCCGGACCCCGGTTGTGGTCGTCAGAAGTGCCAGCAGACAGAACTCAGCACCTGTTCTGGGTAAAAACTCAGTACAGCAGGAGGAGAAAGAACTTTAAACTGATGAAGGGTCTGAATGAGGTCGAACCATATGAAATTGCTGATATTTAACCACTTTTGACTTACAAAAATGGCAGTTTTGTAGGACCCAACTTAACACCCAAGCCTACAGCAAACTTCCTACTTGAAGATAAAATGCAAAAAGCATTTGGAGCACCCGGCTGGCTCAGTCGGGGGAGCGTGTGACTCCTGATCTTGGGATTGTGAGTTTGAGCCCCACGGTGCATGTAGAGATTGCTATAAAAAATAAAACCTTTACCAAAAAAAAAAGAAAGAAAAAAAGCATTCTATAAATCAGGACAAAGGTGTGGATGACCCTGTTCTCTGTGGTGCATGAGAGTCCTGGCCAGGACAGCAGCATGAGACAGGACCGTGAGGGGAGGAGCCTGACCCTCACCACAGATGCTCACCATTTGCACAGAGAACCCGGGAAAATGGCTGCCACACGTATTAGCGCTAATCAGTTCTGTGGAGTTGCTAGTTATAAAACATTTGGTAAAAGCCAACTATGCTCCAATTGCCTGCAATAGCTAGAAAATGTAAGCTTAAAGAGATCCTCGAGATAAACAAACTGGTACAGTCATCAAACAGAATGCTGTCCAGCAATAAGAAGGGAGCTTTCAGACCACGGAAAGACATGGAGGAAACGTAGATGCGTATTACCAGGAGAAAGGAGCCAATCTGGAAAAGGCTACATGGCCTATGATTCCAACCCCGTGACATTCGGGGGAAACGGCAGAACTGTGAGGCAGTAAGAAGATCAATTGGTACCAAGGATAGAACTGGAAAGGGGGGAGGGTGAACAGAGCACAGAGGAATTTTAGGACAGTGAAACTGCTCTGTGTGAGACACGAGGGTGGACGAGTGTCATTATACATTTGTGCAATCCTGTAGAACACACAGCAGTGAGCGCGAGCCCTCACGTATGCCCTGGGCTCTGGGTGATGATCCTGGGTCCGTGTGGGCTCCTCAGTGTGACAGACACACCATCTGGTGGGATGCTGATATATGTGCACAAGACGACTTTCATAACAATGTTTACAGCAAAAAATAGCCAAAATGCCCACTGAGAGAAGAATGGATGAGCCAATGTTGATGTATTTATACAATGGAAAGAATATGCACAAACTGGTGTCTAGACCTGGGCTTGCCAAGCCACACCTGGCAGAGGCCAAATCCTGCCCACCTCCTTCTGTACAGCCCATGAGCGAAAAGTAGTTTTTACGTTTTTAAATAGTTGAAAAAATCAAAAGAAGAATGTTTCATGACATGAAGACTATATGAGATTGACCTTTCTGATCTATTGGGTTACATCCAGGCCCATCTGCTCACGTACCACCTGTGGAACGGGGGGGCCCTAAAGCTGTGGCCTGACGTAGCTGCTCTCCATATATCGCATCGATACATCCCAGAAGCATAATGTGGAATGAAAGCGCTCTGCAGAAAGATATATACACAACCCCCGGATGTGATGTATACAGATTTTTAAATATGTGAGAAGAGAAACACCAGACTCAGGAAAGTCTGAAGGAGGGATGTAGGGGTAGAACTCTCAAAGGGGTTTTGACTTTATAACATTTTGTTTATTAAGTTGGATGGTGTATATCATATTAGTCTTTGTACCTTCTTAGAAGTCTAAAAATATTTATAATAAAAATACATAAATTACAGTATTCACCTAGTAAAGATCAAATGGGATGAACAGCTAAAAAATTTTTGTAAAGGAAGATAAACAAGAGCAACCTTATTATATGTATTTGTAATATATTAAAAATATTACAAAGGTATGTTTTTTTTTTTTTTAAGATTTTATTTATTTATTTGAGAGAGACAGAGAGAGAAACCATGAGCAAGGGGAGGGGCAGAGAGAGAAGGAGAGAGAGTCCTAAGCAGACTCCTTGCTTGATCCACAACCT